TATTCACATATTTAATTTATTTAAATATTTATTTCTTTAATTATTCGTATATTTATTTATTTACTAATTTATTTATTCATTTACTTTTTCATTTGCTTATACATTTATTTATTCACTTATTTATATATTAAAAAATTTTTTTTTAATTTATCGATTCATTTATTAATTTACATCATCATTTATTTATTGATTTATTTATTCTTTTATATATTTTTTTTATTTATAAAGTTATTCCTTCGTTCTTTTACAATATAATATAAATTTTAATAACTTATATGTTTTATATTCTTTTTATTATATTTTGACATAGTTTAAACTGTAGATTATTTAATTAAATTCTGTATCTAATTAAATCTTAATTAAAATATTCACCACTCTAGATCATAAGAAGCAATATCAAACTAATATTGATACTAATTTTTTAGATATATTAGAACGTGTTTTATTATCATTATTTAATTAATTAATCATACAAAAAAAAATTGAAGAAATAAGAAATAACCGATTGAAGGAAAGCCATATTGCGGTTGCAGTTAATTTTCGTTCACAATCCATTTTCAAGCTGTGGCTGTAATTTAAATCAATTCCAGTGTAGACTTGAAACATCCCGTACAGCTCGTGGTAGGTTCGTTATCACTCGCGGTTAACTCTCTCGATAATATTAGCCGAGCAATATGGTTGAAAATACACATCAATCACTCGAAATTGATCGAGTCCATTTTTAAAATTTCTTTATTATAAAGTTTAATTTTTTAAATTATATTTAAACAATTGTAGCCATTGATTTTTGTTCATTATAATTTATATATATATATTTATATTATTACTTTTCGATAATTATATGGAACAATTATATGGAATTATATTTTTCTTGTCATCATCCCAATGAATTCTTTTTCGATCAATTGTATATTTAGTAATTATGTAAATAATACAAAGCTTAGTGATTAAAATTTAATAACACTAATTAGCAATAAGCAGTAGTTAAGAAGTACATTCGAAATTTAAAAAATAATAATAACATATAATTATAATTCACTTCGAATTTTCATTAAATACATTAGCAAACAGAAACGTGAATACATTACATATACACATTATGCAAATAGGACACATATAAAGGAAATCTTATCGTTATATTCAAATGTCATCTACGCCAATGTCCTAATCTTCATCTCCGTAATATACACCGAGTTCCATATGTTAAGCTCTATCCAAGAATTTACGAGCTTTCTTCTTAATCTCTCCTTTTTTTACAATTTAAAAATTCAAAGAGAATAATTTCCAGAATTTCAGTTATTACACGCATCAATTTAAATATATACTCGCTCTACGATAATTGCAATAATCAAAATTCGAATAATCGATGTTTCCACCGTGTGCTTTATTCCTATGCAAATCCAATAAATATATTTCAACGTTTTTGCCTTCTAAACGGCTTTTAACGTAACTCGATTTGTTTCTCCGCGCTCTGCTTCCCTTTAAAACAAAACGAGAGGATGCAAAAACTAATTGTCGCATTTTCCATTCAAGGGAGGGAAGGGGAAGCGTGGTCGCCAAGAGAACCGGACAAATAGTCTTGCAGGCAAGGATCGGTCATGCCAGTTACAAGGATCCGTGATCTGGTAGGGGGAGAGAGGGAGAAAAAGAAAAAAAAAGAAAATAGACATAACCTAGCTTCTACACTGCGTTGCAGTTTAATTACCGTTGACGCTCGAGTGTGAAATTATCAGTCACTATGTAACCTCTCTCTTCGCCCCTCTTTTTGCGTCCCAATTAACTTAAAGCCACGCTCAACGTTCATTTTCTTCCTCTAATCAGACAAATTTTAAATACTAACGATCCATAGGAGGGGAGAGGGGGAGAGGAATTGAAGGTGAAACGCTGCGAAGCTGGTGGAAAAATTACCATCGAACACGGTTAAATACGGTTTCACGGAGAGAAAGGGACGTCTTGTTTACGTTAATGGTAATCTTAAGAGATGAAAAGAAAATTAATTAGATTTAAAAAAATTTATTTCAATTCAAATTCGTTTTCGGCAAACGAAATTGCAATGCTTATTTCTCATAATTTAATTAAATAATGGATAAAAAAAAAATAGAATAATTAGAATTAAATTCACGTAATGAAAAAATAAGAAAATAAAAATTGTATTCATAAACAGAATCAGAAGATATTTACTTTAAATCAAATTAAAAAACTAATTGCAATGTATATTTGAATGATTTAATAATAATAAAAAGGATATGATTCATGGTTCTAATAACAGATTTTTTTCCAATATTAGATGAGAATTATTTACGAGAATAGATTTATTTCCACATTAATAATTAATTTCTATATAATCAATATAAGCGTGCTATATATATATCAAATAGACCTTCCGTAACATGCGAAACATGATATGGGAGAGTCTGCTAATCGATGTCGGATTAATAGATTCGTGTTTCTCAAATGGACATGCATACATGGCCGTGGTATTACCTTGCTCGTAAAGGAGGCCAGTATCCGCGGGGATAATCGATGGTTACCTAGATCTTAATCAAAACTGACGTTTGTAATGGGAGAAGTCCAAAGTAGGAAATCTGCAAATAGCAAATGGATCCTGCACAACTGCCATAAATATGAATAATCCTTCGATTCGTGTATAGATGGATTCCTAATGAACTTTTTCCCGTTTCATTTATTCGATATATTTTTCGTTAATATTCTGAAATAATTTTTTCTCTATCATTAAAATTAATATCTATTTTCTGAAATTATTTAAATATATTAAATTATTGCCATGTTGAATGGATAAAGTTATTAAAGTGGTTCAGAATCGTTGAATTTGAAAAGAGACAGCCGTTTCCTTCCTCGAGTCGTCACCGTTGAGATGAAATCCAAGAGGAATCGTTCGATTTCACGGGATGAAAGGAATAAGTTTGAACGACGAGAGATGGCCAGGATCGGGATCCCCTTCGTGAAGGAAACTTGGCCCGTTTGCACGGTGAGAATGAAGGAAGAAGGCGAGGAAATTACGTGTCAGCTGAGCATCAAAGATTCCGCTCATGCGAATAGACGGTAAAGACTTTTGCCATCTGTACGGGCTGTCACGCGTTTCGATGTTATTAACAACTTTATAATTTTCCTTATTAACGCTTTAGATAATTGTACTGAAATATTTCAAATAATTTATATTTTTCCTTATACGTTCAGATTAGAGGAATTCATAATTCTTGCTTTAACTCGCAAGCAAATTTGAACATAACCTAAAAAAAGTAAGTAATTAAAAATTTCGAATAAAGTTACTTTAAATAATTACATATTAAAATACTTAAATAATATTATTCATAGCTATTATAATTGATCCATTCTTCATATAACCTCATTCATTTGGCATTATAATTATTTGAGATTATTATTATATTTTAAATAATAAATTATTGAAATAACTTATCGAACTTTTAAATAATGTAGCAATCTTTATACATTCGTCGCTAAAGGAATTCACAATTTTTGCTTTAACTGTGCTTGCTTGCAAGCAGAGTTGAGCATTAACCTAGAAAAAAAGGAACTAGTTAAAAATACAGTTATTTTAAGTAATTATTCTTAAAATGCTTAAATAACATTTATTTGCAGCTATTATAGTTGATCTGCTCTTCATATAATCTCGGTTGTTTGGCAAGAATACAATAAATTATCGAACTAACTTATCGAAGTAACTTTATTCGTAACTTCGATTATTAAATTTTATCCATCACTGCTCACAAGTATATCTTAACCTATCTAGTGTCTAAAGGATTAAAATTGTAAATTCTTGGAGAGAAGAAAATAAATCTTCTCAAAATAAGAATTAAAATTTTTGTGAATATTTTTCCTAATTCCCAAAAAAAATTGAAAATTAAAAAAAGAAAAATTATAAGAATTAATTTGAATGAAATTCAAATAATTAAAAAAAATCTGTTCAAGATTATTTCCCCTTATAATAACATAGTATTACGCGAATCAAAGAAAACATCTTTGGAAAAATTTTTTATCAAGATACAATGGCAATTTGTCCCTTTTCTTTTCAATTAAATTTATTGGATTTCGAACTTTTCAATCTTTTGTTTCGAATGTACATTGTTTGAAATTTATCGTTCGTTTGCAATAAAAATGAAGATAAGAAAAGCAAATAACGATATAATTATATGGTAAATAATGTTGCGAAGATTGGTTCGGACGAGATATATATCGGGCCAACTGTACAAACTATGAGATTACATGTCTCGTATCGTATTCGCGAATAGAATCAAGCAAAAGCCTCGACATTGACGAAGTTTATATTAGGAAAGTTTTTACGTTTTCCATCGAGCTAGACTCATCGTTTTATCCTCTTCTTCAATACAGAGAGTGTCGTGACTCGTTCGTATCGATCACAAAAATATGAATTATTTGGTTAAAAATAACATCACGTAATTTATTTAGAAATCTCTTTAAAAGTGTTCGATTTGCTTCTTTATAACACATTAAAAAAAATTTTTATTTATGTTTAAAAAGTTTATTTCCATCTTTGAATTAATTCTTCAAATCAATTTTATATCGCTAATACCATTTTTCTCTCAATTTGTCATTCAATGAATTAGTTCTTTTTCCATCAGTGTGTGAATTTCTTGCTTCTACACGTGACTAAAATAATATTAATACGTGTTATTAATTATTGGAAAACTTTTTTAAAAAAAATTCCATTCAACGTACAAAATTAATAACGTATGTTGAAATTGGAAAAGAAGAGATGTTATGGAATGGACAATACAGCATTCGTTTTTTCCTGTTGGTTAGACAAGGATTCTGAATCTTTGTTTCATCCTTTTGCGGATGCATAGAGGTTAATAAAGAAATATATTAAAAACGTGAAAAGTTTCATTAATCTGTCTCTTTAATCATTTACTTGAAAAATGTTTTAAAAATATATAAGTACTTTCATTAATTCTTAATGACATTTCATTAACTCTTTTGTAACAAATAAAAAATCTCTATGCAACAATTAAATTTCAAAAATTTACAACTTCGTTATATGAATTCAATATCGAATTTCGCAAAATTGTGATTCAAATATATTTATTTCGACCAGCATTGCTATTATTTATTTCATAAATATTCATAATTACATTAAAAGTATTAAGATTTTAGATTCGATTCACAAACGAATAAATTAATTACAATTTCTTAATAAATATTTCCACTTGCTTCTCGTAATTTACACAAGTGGTCCAGAGGACAGCACAGGACGAGTACAAACCGACAAGTTTTGCTGGTCGTTTAAGAGGCCGTTCTGGCAATTGTTACGATCGTTGATATCGAGTTACACTTCGTATGTGTACACTGTGATCTCACACATGCGCAGTTGTTGCTAAAACATCCATGACGTAGATCAGGTTAAAGTTCTTGCCAAACTCTCGTTAGACATGAGGAGAGGGATAGCGAGGAGAGATTAATAAGAAAACAGATAACATACGCGAGAAAGGTGGTGATGGAACGAAGAAAAGAGAGAAATGGATACGGATGGAGAGAACGTATGTATTTTTACATCGGATATATTTATAACTTTTTTTTTCTTAACCTCTTCTCCCTATCTTTCAAAAAAATTTCCAAGTTCGATTAATAATAATTATTATTATCAGTATTATCGTTATCGTGTTGAAGCGTGAAAATTGTCAAAAAAATTATTTACATTAAATAATCTCGTTATTTAAAATTGCGCAATAATTTTCATTTTTTTTTATCTGCCCACTTTTTTATCGTAATTATATATTCATAAATAATAATAATTGTAATTTAATCATCATTTGATATTTCATCTCCAAAAGATCCAAAGTAAATTTTGATAAGTGAGTAATTTATAAAAATTTTTGGATCGATTATAATTTTAATATAAAATTTATTACATATTTCGATAGAATTATTATCGAAATATAGGCAAAATGTGTATGCCGAGTATTTCAGTACTTACTGATATTTTATAATTCGTGTTATATATGTCGATTTATCGTCTTGTTGAAAATAATAGTAAAATTAATTGTACTCGATTTTCTCGCTGAATTATTTCACGTTTGAAATATAAGGAAATGTATAAAATTGATTAAGAGAATAATATTTTGTACGATAATTATCGAGATAACAGGTAACGGAAAAGGCAGAGGAATAATTTTTAACAAATAATCTTTTTTGTCGTTCAATTAATTTTATCATCGATCGACGATAAAGAAGGAATCAAAAGCAGATAATTTCTAATTTACTAAAAATTTATTTTTATCACATATAAAAGTAATTTACATGGCTTCGATACAATGTTTAAAAAATGATTCGTACGTGTTTGAGCAATATTCTAATCGAGTGATAATTAAATTCGATTCCCTCGAGGGTAAATCGATTCGTTTCCACGCGGTATTTCTTTCCATCATCGTAGCGTTTCGTAGTTAGGAAATATCCTATTTATACGCTATATTGTCGTATGGTTGCTCTGTATGTATCAACAAAAAACTTGTCCCCTAATAATATTTTAGAAAAAATAATCTTTCGAGAAGTTATCTTTCGAGGCAAATTTAACCATTCTTACCCGCTACAACGCGTAACTTTTCGAAAATCGTCGAATGTACCTTTTTTTTTTTTAAAAATTATCCAAGATGTAAGATAAAATTATGGAAGATCTAAATCACGCAGCTATTTTACAATACATCGTGTGGCTTCTCGCATCTCTTCTTGCATTTTTTACATTGTGGACACTACGGATTATCCTTTATTCTCGTTTATTTATTTCATCATAATTTTATACGAGTATTAATGAACTTACAACCATATCTCGCTTAAATTAATTAAATCAATTCTTAAAAATACTTTCCGGTTCAGCTCCGCGAGCCAAAGGACAGATTTTGTCTGAAACAGAATCGAAAATCAATTGTGACATCGTTGATTGGTACAAATAATAAATCTTACATTTTAAATCGTGATCATATAGAAAATATAGAAAAATATAAAAAGAAAGAAAAATTTTCCTATCAAAAATCCGTTCAGAAAAATAGAGGAAATTATGCCATTGAATATGCTTTTTGTTTTATTCCGATATTTCGAGATACAACTATTTAAAGTGTCAATAGAGTTTGAGATGATGGATCGAAAATTATGAATGAATCATATAGTGACTTATTTTATGAATATACTATATACATTTCCAACAATAGCGTCTTTCGCTTGTCTAGATATTGGATAGATCAATAAGACGAGAATTTCGAGTTAACGAGGGACAGTTTAACCGATTAAAAATTACATTTCTCTTTACACGATGATATCTCGGGAACCGGAAGTCGTATCGAGCTAAAACAAGGTGCGTTTTAAAGAGTAAGATTTCTCGCTTCTAACGATCGTTCACTGGTTGATTGGGCATTACTATCTTCGAAGTTATAGCGGTTCAAAATTTTCGTAATTTTAATAGAGTTTAATGAAAACGAAGCGATAGATACATTTATTATCTGGAAAAATTATATACATTCAATGGAACGTATACGATGTAAAGTTTCATAATTCTGTTTCCGTCAAAGTTATTGCGACAATTTAGTCTGTACAGAATATAGTTTTCGTTTCAGAATATAAAAAGATTAATTGTTTTAGTTATTGTCCGTAAAAAATAAGGTAAAAATCGAATGCAATTTACAGTTTACTCGTAAAAAAAGTTGGATGAAAACGTCAATGGAAAAGGATTTATGAAAAATATTTAATAGAAGTTTTCGATTTCGGGTAAAATAATTTTTTATCGCCATTTTCTCGGCAGGAAGAATTTTTCGAATTTCGAAGGAAAATCGATCGAATCTTTTTTTCCCTGAAAAAAATTTCTTCTAAATCTCGTTTTCGACGTGACGAAAGAAGTTTTATCGATGTTGTCGTTTCTCAAAATTTCTCATCTCGCGTTCGTTCGACTTTTAAATTCTCTTCAAACTCTCCATCGACGTTTTTTAAAATTATCGCCGCGGCTAACAACATTTATCCGTGTACTTTCGTCGAAATACGTCGAGCTGTTTGTCGAGAGAGAGAGAGAAAGAGAAAGAGAGAGTGGAAAGCCTGTTCTCTATACAGAGCATGTGTTGGCTGGCGTGATGTAATTTCTACTCTGGCGAAGGTAGTTCGTAAAATACACGAGTTTCGACATTGTGCGCGCGCGTTCGTCTCGTAAATCCCGTTAGCCTTCCCCCCCGAGAAGTAATTAGTTCTCACGAAATTAGAGCAATAAATTTGATGAAACATACATCCATTGATTGAGATATTTCCACTTTCTTCGCTCAAAGAGATTACATATAAAAATTCTCCCCTTCTCCTGAGATGGATCCTTTCAGAAAGATTTCGCTAGATCTAACATATCTCGAAAAAAATTATTTTACTTGCGAATCCAAAGAAAGATTACTTCAAGTAATAAGCCGTTAATTGAAAAGAAGCAAAAAATTTCCACGTGGTTTAGGATCTGTGTTTAGTATTTAAAGCATGCCCGATACGACGAGGATAAAAAGCGCACAAGGCCAATCCCCTCCCTTGTTGTTCAATGGCAACTTTGAAACACGTTTTTTGCCTTCCGACTCCGGAGAGTTTTCTTTCCAACTCGGCCGAAAACCGTGTAACGTGCTTTGATCCACGCACAGTCTTTTGCTAAGTAAAATTATTTTTTTTTTTTTCTAAATTCTCCTCTCTCTCTTCCTTTTTTTTTTCCCCCATGCTATTCCACTATTCCTTTCAGTCAATGGAAAAGTCCTCTCTTTCAAAGAAGACTGATTCCTTTCAATATATTTCCTATTTCTTATTCTCCATTCCTCTCCCTTCCTCCACTTCTTTCTACTTCATATCGATCAAATGTCGTTAAATTGAATTGAACGGTGTAATTTTTTTCAACGGTTCTTTTAAATTGCTAAAATACAATTGCAATAATCCGTTTTCTCCGGATTGGACAAAATATTTGTTTGTACGATTGTTCGATGCAAATATGGCGGGGGGGAGGGGGGGGAGAGGACTCCGTCGAAAAACGTCGAGGGAAATTTATACACGATTTGTTCACAGCGGTATGTAAATTTATGGCGCGGGAATATGGTTTAAAAAATTCAAGCCGGCGACACGCGACATTTGAAAACGAATTGAAGTGAGGTACGCGGCGGTTCCCACCATCAATAACATTTACGTTGGTACATGTAAATCCAAGAGACATCGGTTCAAAACGCGAAAATTCCACTGTGTATCCTCTATTTATATCACAAGATCGAGAGCGTGTATCGACTCGTCAAGTGGGATATTACGAGAGAGAATTTCGAGTGTACGAGGTGGAAAATGAATATTTATTTAGATAATAAATATTCGCGTGGATAATATTTTTTGTGACGAAAAATACCATTTATTTCTTTGTTTCTCGAATAGAAAGCCGGTTATAATACAGGCGAGGAATCAAGTAATTGCACGATGATGAAATAATTCAATTTTACTTACTTCAAGCTTACTTTTTTCCACGTTCGAAAATCGAAACGTCTACTTTAATCGGTTTTTCCCACAGCCGATTATTATTATTATTATTATTATTATTATTGTATCACGTGAATTTAATCAACCGTGAAAATAATTGTGCTTGGTAGCTTGTTGCGAGGCGAGAATACCGATCGACCATAATAAATAAATTTCGCGGTTAAATTATTAATTTGCAACGAGTAACGTGCGGCTTGATAGGTTAATACAGAGAGAACCGGGCATGGGTTCGATCCATCTTTATCGCGAATAATTAATATTTTCTCTCTCTCTTTCTCTCTCTCTCCACAGAGTAAATAAAACACACCATAGAAGAAATATTTACCTCTCATTAAACGTACGTATGTATATATGTGTGTATATATATATACACACGTATGTATATATGTGTGTATATATATATACACACGCGTTTCTTGTATCTCTTTCCATATCAATATTAACTTTCCCTAATTAATTCCAATATTATTTTATTTATCGGATAATTTTACATCTATTTTCTCTATTTTGTTTTTTTTTTTCTTTTCTTTCGTTGCTTCGATCGAAATAATACATCGAGATATAATTTGTATCGAATAATTCGTAAGCTTTGTTATTTAATTAAGAATAATGAAAATTTCGTAGAATCAACAGATACGATTTTTATACGAACTTTAAACGACAATTATGCAAAAAAAAAAGAAAGAAAGAAAAACGATTACCTTGGGCAGACTATGGACGATCACGTTCTGTTCTTGGTGGCGCAGGGAGCGCAGAAGACGCGTTTCTTGTATCTCTTTCCATATCAATATTAACTTCCCTAATTAATTCCAATATTATTTTATTTATCGGATAATTTTACATCTATTTTCTCTATTTTGTTTTTTTTTTTCTTTTCTTTCGTTGCTTCGATCGAAATAATACATCGAGATATAATTTGTATCGAATAATTCGTAAGCTTTGTTATTTAATTAAGAATAATGAAAATTTCGTAGAATCAACAGATACGATTTTTATACGAACTTTAAACGACAATTATGCAAAA